TGAGGAAGAATCCCAGAGCCCAGGGAGCAGCTGCTGGTGGGAGCTGCGCTCCAGCAGGAACCGACGTCTTGCCCATCACATGCATAAAAACACAAAGGAAGAAAGCAGAGAAAGGAATTCCAGCAGTATCTGAAATTAGGCACAAATAAAATACTACTGCAGAACCTTGCAGGACTTGGAATATCTGGATCCTTATTAATTTAATCTAATAATTCCCATTTCATGCACAGTGAAAACATCTCAGCCTCTGTGGGGAACACAACCAGTCAGTGCATTCGGCACCAAAAGAACCTCAACGCCATCACCTTTTTTTGTTTCAGAAGGAAAACCCAGCAGGGTCTGGGCCAGTGCAGATTCCTGTCCCATTTCCAGCTGGATTCCCCAGGGGCTGTGCTTGCCTGGCAGCTGCTCCTCAGCACTTCACCCTCAGCTGCCGCACAGCTCAGTGGCAGCTCCTCTCGGAACGGGACCAGGGTCGGGTCCAGAACCAGCTCCTGCTGCTGACAGGACAGCCAGGGATCCTCGAGTTTTGCCCCCTCCTGTCAGTTGTTGTGCAATCACCGAGTTACTTCAACAGGAAGGAAGAGGCTCGAACAACCAACCTACGCTCGGTACGTGCAGAGAGGTGATTTGTTAAATCAAAGGGGGTGCGAACGTGAGGGAACTCCACTTGCTCACATCAATCCTGGAACACTTCAGCTCTCCCCACCACTCCAGCTGCTGGATGGTCCAACACCACCGACCCATTCCTAAGGAGAGCTTTCATAGGATCATCATACAACCATGGAATGGTGTGGGGTGGAAGGGCCCTTAAAGCTCATCCAGTTCCAGCCCCCTGCCATGGGCAGGGACATCTCCCACCAGACCAGGTTGCTCAGAGTTTTAGCCAACAAGAACTTAACTAGAAGCCCAGGTGAAAGTGATGCAATTAAAAAACCAACTAACACAACCTGTTGAGTTCTAGAGTGCTCAGCTGACATGACTGTTCCGGCATGAAAAGATGGTCAAGAGATGAGGTGGTGATTCCTCAGAAACAGCTTCCCTAGGAAAAGGCAGCACCTGGAATCCAAACTGCATCATGGAGCTGGTCTAAGTTCCAGGGCATTTGGCAGGGTTTAAACTCATTTCAGTGGGCAGAGGAGGCTCCTTCCCACCACACTGTGCATCCAGGTTCCGACCCACCCACAGCAACATTCACACTCCTGAGAATTCCTGCATCCCCACTAGCAAGATGAATGCTAATGCTGAGCACCAACTCCATAAACAGGGATGACTTGGGCCGAGTATTTCCGGGGATTTAGTGTCCACAGCACGTCGGCCAAATGCGAGGGCTGTTGTGGAAAACGAGGCATCTCAGGCCTATAAAAACCAACAAAGGAGAAGTCAATGTTTTGCTGCAAAATACTGCCTCATACTGCAGCCAGTGATCCCTTTCTCCAGGAGGCAGAGGCTGGCTTAGTCAGAGGAGAGCTTAAAAAGAAAAAAAAAACAGTAAAATCAACTCTGCAAGACTGAAATCCATAATTCATGGGGACTCGTCGCAGAGCGCACCCGAGTGCCATCAATATTTTAAATACCGAGCACCAAACTGGCTGTCAAACGCAAGTCAGCGTTTTCCTGGTGCCTCCCTGGCGGGGAGAAAGTCATCAGGCCCAGCAGAACATGGAGGAGCCCTTTTAGCGGCGAGTTTGCTCGACTCTCTTACATATTTTATTTGAAACACAAGATGTGGCAGGAGCCAACCAGCTGGCCTTTGCCAACCACCAAAAAGAGTCAGCTGGCTGCCTCCACTCATTGTTAATCCGAAAAGATGCTTTCACCACACCAACATGAGGCTGTATATGTTTATTCATCGTCAGTAATTTTTGTACACAAGGCAAATATTAATAGCTGAAAGGCAACACTTTTGGAGAGTATGTACAGAGCAATGTACAAGCGAGTGTAAGGTTTTAAACTATGAATCAATTTAACCATTTTATAAAAAGGAAGTGATGCTTTTTCTTCTAAGACCTCCCTTAGAAATAATTTATTGCCAATCTTAAACTAAAGCAAGGAGAAAAAAAAAAATTTACAATAAAAAGTAGTCCCTGGAAAGTTTATAAAAAGTTAAACAACATATAAAATCGTAAGCCACAAACATTTATACAAAGCTAATACAAATCTTGGTTTTGTTAAAGATCTATGAGGTTGTTACAAAATATATTTTTACATAAAGGCTTCACGTAAGGTAAGCTCTCACTGCTACTGAAAGCGCAGGAAAGCGGTTTTAAATAGTCTGCAATTCAACTTATTTTCAAGTACAACGCAAAGAAATTGCAAAAATGGCACTGTATTGCAATGCTGTGAAATTAAAAACTATTGTTAATGGTACCATCAGAGACACGAGACCTGTAAAGTGAAGTGGTGAACAACTGGGCACGGCGTGAGACTTCGGATGGGGTTGGGACAGGAGTGGTGGTGGGAAAGGGACCTTCTGCAAGAGGAATAACCAGGGGGGTGTTCTGCTGTCCATGGGCACCCTGGACACACACCGGGAATACTGTCCACAGTATTCCAGGGTCAGGAAGCTTGGACCACCCACCCAACCTGATCGACCTGCTGATGGGCAAAACTTAAAGCCACTTAAGGGATGAGCCCAATAAACAGCCTTTGAGATCAACCTGATTTCTTTCTAAGAGCAGCTATTCCAGAAGAAAGCTGAAGTTTCACACAAACTGATGGTTTACGCTCCCACATACAAGATATTAAAAAAAAAAAGTAAAAATTTTTCAAGCCCTGATGAACAGCCACAGTTTTTTAGGTATCGATCATCTCATTTAACACCCCGCAGGAGGGAACAGTCACTGAAACACCAATTTCACCTTCAAGTACAGGGAGGTTGTACAAGACAGTGGTTTTATCTCCACAGGGTCAGTGATCTTTTGAAGAGAGCTCACTCTAGCAGAGAACTAAGAAATCTAGGGACACTTGATTTTCTGGAAAACTTGATTTTCTACCTGCTTTCCCACCTTCACCAGAAATGCACCCCAACCTTGTACCACAGACTGGTTTCCATGAGGAAGCTTCACTCTCAACTAGACAACTGTCACTTGTTTGGTTCCTTGTACCAAAATTATGTCCTGCTATAAAGAAATGGTATCTAGAAACAAATCTGAAGGGAAATACAACTGCCCACGCTGTGCTCCATTCAGGGAGCTGATAAAGAGCGAGTCTGAAGGTGGCTAAGGGCAGTGATTTGGGGGTTTTGGCCATATTTTAACACAGGAACCATGTAAACAGGAACATCCAGGAGTGTTGTCTCACTCCCCTCTCAAGAACAGGGAGTGGGAAACCCAAGTGATTTGATTCAGTTATTTCATTAAATCAATTCATTTCTGCCTGAGATTCATATAGTGCTTATCTACCAGGGCCCTACAAGTGACCCAGCCCTGGGGTCCCCCCTGCTCTCTTACAGGCCCTGGGGTTCACAGGGACAGTGATCTGAGAGGATTAAAACCAGGGATTTTCGGGGTGGTTCAGAGGAGAAGCTGCTGAACGTGATCCCTACTTTGGCCAAGGTCAGAAGTTCCCAGTGCCTTGGTGATCCTGGCTGCATCCTCAGACTGACACACCAGTCTGAAAGATCTTCAGTAAATTAAAAGCCCCCTTGACACAGAATTCATCATTATTTTACATAAATTTCTTTAAATAAATCCCTGGTAATCTTCCTATCATCCACTACCAGCCTTTAGTCTTTTCTGCAATCATCTGGCCTGACATCCTCCAAAGCACATTCTGCAGACCTCTCCAAATTAACTGTTTTATTCAGAGATAAGTCTCTTTTTTGAAAAGAAACTTGTTCAGACAACTGTCAGCAAAGGAAAAAGAAACGACCCAACTTCTCATCTTGTTGATAACCAAGGGCATGGATCTGTTCAGCTTCTGCTTTCCAACACTGGACTTGGAGGCCACCAGAGGTTTGTGTCTGCTCATGGAGCACTTAAAACCCAACCAAATCAACCATTATCCTTCCCCAAAGGATGTCCAGTCCTTGAAAGAGCCTCTCTAGTCTTTCCTGACTTTTCCTTCCTCCTTCTTGAATTGCTCACTTATGAACTCACCAAATCAGAAATAATCCATGTCCAGCAAAGAGGCAAAATCTACATTAAATATCCCCATCTAAGAGTCTATTCATCCTCCTGACATCAGTGCTGCAACCAGACTTCAGGATTATGTTTAGATTCTGCACTGTGACTTCTCCCAAGCTCTTTTCCGAGTTCCTTCCTCCCAATATAGTGCCTGATCACCGGAATGGCAGACTAACCTGTGACTATTCATTGGAAGAGGTCTTTCAAAACACCTAACCAAATAAAAATACACTACTCCCCCCCCTGCTGCCAGGAGAACAAGGTACATAGATGTTAATACAACTTCCAATCACAGCAAGTGAAGGCTAAGCTCAGGAGACAGGCAGGCAGCTTTCCTATGTCCTGGCAGGGACACCACGTCCCACCGCTCGCCACGTGCACGGGATGGGAATGACAATTCACTGAGGGATTGGCCACCGTCACGATCCACAGGAATTGGCTCCACGGGGCAAAAGGGGCAGCTGAAACTGCCCCCCACGACACTGCAGCCCGGGGGAAAGGTGGCAGCTGCACTGATTTTGGAAACACAGCGGCTCGCTGTCGTTCTGCAGTGCGGGGTACGTGAGCATTGCTTCGTTTTCGTTGGTTTTTGTTATTATTATTATTATTTCTTTCCATCGCATGGCAACACTAACCACCACCTCCCCCTCCCCCGCCCCCTTAAATAAAAAAATAAACAAAACTGCAATGGAACTTTGGGTGAAACCGTTACAAGCAGCACTCTGGGAGATGCTGTGCAACATATTTGGCTCAAGTACACTTAGGATTGCTTAGACCCCACTAGAAAGTCTCAGAAAGAACCTCATCAGCTGAAGCATGTTCTGCTGGGACACACTTTTTTTTTTTTTTCTTTTTCTATTTTTTTTTTTTTTTCAGAAGAACACATTCATCTCCACGGTGTCAGCTACACAAGGCCTCTGCTGGGAACTCAATAAGGCCACTGAAAATACCAGAGGAGGACAGAACACAAGGAGGCACTTAGGTTTGCAAGTACTTCTCTCCATCACCGAGCCCCACTGGGCTCCGAGGAGGCACCTTGGAAGGAGTTGGGAATTAAAAACAAACCAGTGCTAAGTCGAAGCGCTTCGAGAACAGGTTACCTACGTGGAACATCTGCTTAGTGAAGACATGAAACACAAGCTGAGCTTGCTCCCCACCACTTCCCACATCAGGATGTCCAGAGACCAGACCAGAGTGCTCTGTGCTTCGCCATGGCTCCGAGACGCACCCGGAGTGAATCCGTGTACTGTGCCAACCACCAATCCCTCGTCCCTGGACTCATCACTTCCCGCCAGACACGCCTGGAGCTCCCAATTTTAAGCATCTTTAAAGCATCTCCCATTCAAACCCGAGGCTAAGGTTTATACTCGAACAGGAAGTACGTTACGCCCGGGAATCCGCGCTTCGAACAGGTGATTCCAGCAAGGGATGGAGGGGATTTCTAACCAAAAACAGACCTGAGAAATCATAAGCCAGCTACGGTATCACAGTCATTCGTAATGAAGTTAGATGTGAAAAGTTTCTCCCCCCCCCTCCACCCCCAAATTACTGCCACAGTCTAATAATTGCAACAATTTCACGGAAGTCTGGACTTGGAATTCTGAATTTTCTAGGATGATAAACATGTTTGTAAAAGGTCAAATTTACCACTTTACAGGTAACTCAGACATAGGTCTGCTATAGAATTACAACTTGAGTCAACTTGAAGCTACACTGGAAGAGATTTAAGCCTGAATTTCTGCAGAAATTGGCAATAATGTGTTCAGCAGCAGCTTTTAGCCACATACCAAGAAGTCTGACAGGATCTGGATTTCTCTACTCCTGCTGTAAACTTCTAGTTAAAAAAAAAAAAAACAAAAAAAAAACAAACCAACACACGAGAGTTACTGAAACAAGAATGTCTTTCTGCACATCACTGTAACATGAGCTGCTTGAGGTTGTCGTGCAGGATGGTATCCTTGACATCACGGAACACTAGCCGGATGTTCTCTGTGTTAATAGCAGTGGTGAAGTGGTGGTACAGGGGCTTCTGCTGCTGGTCCCGGCGTTTCGTGCGAAAACAATCCACCAGGAATTTTTGGACATCTGTTAAGCAGTGGGGATCCCCTTCGAACTCTGGGAAATAGTCTTTGATGCTGACTTTCTGTACTTTCTCCTCAAGCAAGTCCGTCTTGTTTAGGAAGAGGATGATTGAGACGTTGCTGAAAACCCGGTTATTGACTATTGTTTCAAAAATGTTCAGGGACTCGGTGAGGCGGTTTGTTTGCCGGTCCTCCATGAGCACCTGGTCGAATTCACTGGAGGAGACGAGGAAGAGGATGGACGTGACGCTGTCGAAGCACTCGAACCACCGCTTCCGCTCCGACCTCTGCCCGCCCACGTCGACCATTTTGAAAGGAACATTTTTGATTTCGAAGTCGTACTCGTGGATCCCTTTGGTGGGTCTTCGTGCCAGCAGGATGTCTTGCTGTGAGGGAAGGTAATCCTAAAAACAAAAGTAAAGGAGAGTTTGCAGATTAGGCCACAATCACGGGCACGGTGGGGCTGCAATGGAGAGAGCAGGTGGCAGAGGAACAACATGAGGTTTTCAATGATCAGTGTATTTACACACTAACACTGGAGCTTTTGGGAAAGATCTGGAGTTCAAAGCAGGAAACATATTAATAGTAAATCAAAATATGTAACCCCAGACAAAATAAGCTCTCCTTGACAAAGATCCTGGAATAACCTGGGAGGTGAACCAGCAATCCCTCATGCCAGTCTCCCCTGTTCTGGATTACTCTGTGCTTCATTCATCCTCTCCTCACAGAGCTGGGGAACACGCTGGCTGCCAACACTGCAATGCAGCAAATGGGTTCTAAAACAGGTTTCCCAAATCAATAACCAGGATCTATCCTGTTCCAACTGCGGGCTCTCCGTTCCTCCCAGGCTCTCCTGCATATTGCACGGCTGCTTCCAGTGAAAAAGAGCTGCTCACTTTAGTGGTTTTAAGGCAATCAATTATGCCTGAAAAGCAACACTTAAGCAGCTTATTTTTGTGTTTGTGCCATGGATGTTTTGCATCCAGCTGTCTCGGTCCAAAAAGGCACTCTGTTAGCTGTGTGCCCCGCCGGTGAGCTCACAGTGCCTGGCTTTGTCCAAAATTTACTGTGCCACGAGCAGAACAGGGGAACCAGGCAGCTGGGGACAGCAGCCTCTGCCCAGAGCACAGCCTGGAGGGCACACAGACAGCTGCACCCTGAACTTCTCCAGCCCACCTCTCCCCAGAATTCAAGAGGCAGGAAAAGTGCTTTTTTACTATTTTTTGATGGTTATATGAACATCATCAATGGATGCAGATGCTACAGGATGAGGAACTCTTATTAGTCAGCTTTTGACAGCATGAAATTCAAGACTTGGACTGGGGATTTCTTCATTCCTAGAATTACACTTTTGCATCTGCTCCAAGTCCTTCTGCTATCTGCAGAGAGCATCTCTCCCAGACAGCTGGCTGTGCTGGTGCTTAAAGCCTTGTTGTTCACTTGTTATGGAAACTCTTCCTCACATTTTTCCAGCATTTCTCACAACTTCAGAGAGCGCTGTTTAGGTTTTGGAATTTCAGCCTCCTCTTAGTGAATGATCTATGATATTCCTTTGACAGTGCCAGTTCCCAGAGACGTGGAGCTTTTATAAAGATGTGTGAGACCGTGGTCCAGAAAGTCTGATTCAACCAGTCAGCTGGGCGGGGGAACAAACACAACTCTGTGGCCATTTCAGTACTTGTATCCCAAGTTTAAGGCAGCTGGGCAAGTTCAAGCCACAAAAATAAAATCTAAAAATCATGGAATGCAACATTACAAAAATTCAAGGATCACTTTGCTTTAGCATGTAAGCTCCAAAGTGAAACCAGAGAGACATGGCTTTGTCTGGGTTCCTTTATCCGAGCTGCCCATGACTAAGTTGCTGATTTTTATCGTGGCACAAATTACAAGGCAGCTCAGACGCACAGGATCCCCACCCTGGGCCTTTGCTGCAGCACTGCCACACATCAAACCCCACACCACCCAAACCTGCAGGAGAGCTCCACTGCTAAAGCAGGACCAAGCTGTCTGCAAACTGAGCAACAGAAGTGCTGCCACTCCCTCGTCTGAGTAAATGAAGCAACTTTGAAGGGTGGTAAGACTTTTCTTTTTTATTAGATTTATCTTTGGTCTTTCCTACCAAAATTGTAGAGAGGAAGACAATCAGAGGAACAGAGCAGTAACTGTATCAAATGTCACTGGGCACACGTGAAGGGATTTTGAGCAAAGCTGACTGTCAACACGTAGGCAAGAGCATCACAGGTTCAACTCTGATTCCAACTTTCAAACGGGAATATGTGTTCTTTTGTTGTTCAGGAAGTTAGTCTCAAGTTCTCAGAACAAAACCAGAAAGTCTTAGGAAAGCTCAGGAGTGACTGAAATTATTAAATCACGTAAATAAATAAAAGCAATTAATATAATAGGCAAAGCCATATTTACCTTCAATAATGAAACAAGAGCACAAAGCAAACCCTCCTGGGAGTTGACCTGTAATGTTTACTCAGTGAAGCTTTCAAGAACAAGGAGCTTATCCCTGGAATTCCTGACAAATTCCCTCTCAAGTACTATTACTCATTGAAAACTCCTACCACACTTGTAACCACAAAGAGAACCCTTTCAAGTTCTACACGCACAGAAGACACACCACGGTCTAAAAAGGTCCCTTCCAACCCCAACCATTCCCTGACTCCATGTTTTATCCTGGATATTGGCTACCCTGATGCAACAGGCAGCAAAAGAGCGCTCTGAAAGTCAAGTGAGGGTATCCAGCCATCATCTGGCTACAGGAAACCAAACAGAACAACTCCTAAGAAACCTCCCAGTATTTTAGTTCTCTCTTTGAAGGATGGTTATGTTTTTCTCTCCCTCCCAGGTCCTTGGGATACTGGCAGCTTGCCACTTGCTAGCCCTTTTCTCTGTGTTGATCCCATTCTCCACATCTGAAGGCTGCAGCATTAAGTGAATATTCTCCTTGGATGGCAGTGAGTATTATTTTCCAAGCTCTTTCAGTGTTTTGCCACTGTCAATCAGTGTTTTTCCTGCAAGCATCCCCATTTAGACATTGATTTGGAACATGTGGCTCCTTCCTGAATTGTGTCCCTCCCCAAATTCACGGCAGTCTGTCTCTTCTAAAGGAGTCCTCTTGGGTATCACATCACAGTTTGCCTAGTTGAAATTACAATTTAAGGCATGACTAAGATCCAATCACAACATGGAAAGCAACATCTCCCTGTGAGATATTTTAAATACATATAGTCTGCACTGGCAGTTGAAACAACAACAAACAGTTGAAAGGAATCCAAGCGATCCCACACACGTATGCCTGTCAGATAATTTTTTTTTTTTTTTTTTTTTTTGCTGATTGATTAAATCTGAACATTAAGCTCTTTTCCCTCAGTGCTGTTATCGGCCCCTTTCCGGCAACAGGCCCATGAATTGCAGATCTGTGTGTTTATAAGCAATTTAGTTGCAGGTCAGGCCAGTTGCATCAGATAAGTACAGTAAAATACTTATATTAATATAGCTTGGGGAAATATTCATTAGACATATATCTTGCATATAGATAAGAATAAACCAGAAGAATCTATCAAATCTTTCACTCAGGAACAAAACTTAGTGCTTTGTTCCTCAAAAATTTAACATTTTCTACAACAGCAGATCCTGATGAGTCCCTCTGATTCCCAACACCACTTGGTCTAACTTGAAGCTGGAAAAGCTGTAATTCAGAGCTCAGCATTCCCACTGCAACATCAGACTATAGTAAGTGTGTGGACAATCATTTGTAACTTGTTTTTCGCTCAATTTTGACAGAACTTTTATTTCCAGAAAGTCTCCTGGCCCTTGCACTGCCCCATGTTTTTGACTTGTCAGAGATGAACTGCTGAGATAATGCAACAGTCAAAGTTAACTAAAGTTATTAGAGTAGACACTGATTACATTTCATCTACTTAAAACCCAGAGATCACAAAGACAACTTAAAACTCAAGACTAGAAAGAAAAATAAAAAAAGAACTTACTTGTTCTCCAAGTTTATCCAAGTTGTCCAAGAAATACTTTACAGATTCCCCCTAAAAACAAATCAAACAGTTATTTAAATAAGCGACGTACTTGATCGCAATAGTTTACATTCTGAAGTCCAGATAATTTACCAAAATCTACATTTAAGTGTTGTAAGCTTTAATCACTGCCATTTTTAAAAGCAGCTAAACTAAGAACCCAACTGATGATTTATTCTTAGGTCAGTTAATATTTAAGCTTAAAAGCATAAGGCACATTTATAATAGTTACATTCTTTCCAAGTTTAGACTTGATAAATAAATCCAAGTGTTATCCACAGGGAGCATCAATGAAGCAGCCACACCTTCGTTATGGAAAGAAACATTCAATCCCTCTAAGGCTTTGCAGAGTGTGCACACACAGACATTCAGGTATGGCGATTAATCACTGGAGAAAGATAATTTATAACTGCAGTGCCACACGATCCATTCCCACAGGTACTTCCCCAGAGCACAGGGAATGACGAGCACAACAGAGGAGGAAAAAACACAGCACACGAAGCCTTTTACTCAAGTTTCCCATCAGACACCAGGCTGGACCAGAATTCCTTCCCCTGGGAGTAACGAGCAGAGCTCCAGGGTGCTGCACTGCATGGGATCCCATCTCCTGTGCAGGTATTCCAGGTTATCTTCTGGATCCAAGCCAGCACTGTCCTGGCAAACCGTGACTGTAGTTTGTAATCCCTCCACTAATGCGGAACTGAAGAGTTTTCCATGGTAAGCTTGAACTACAGTCAACCCTGCAGGAACTCCACTGGGGTGCTGGGATTAGAGAGGAATCCTTGCATAACTGCTGCACCTCTTTAGGGTTCTCAGCATCCTCACAGAAGCACAAACTGCTTCCTTCTGAAAGCTCCTGATGACCAGCTCTAACTTATTTACTTTACAGTAAGTGCAGAAAAGAGACCACCTGTGTTTTCACTCTGCAGATGGAAGAGCAAGAGTTCTGACTGAGTTTTCTTGATGAGAAATTCAAGCAGCATCCAAAACCGGGGTGATACATCTAATCCAGACAAGTGAATTAGGACAGGAGTTACACCCTGATAACGACTTCCCCTCACTTCAATCTGAACTCTGCAAACTTATCTGGGATGAGTATCAAACCTCACTATTAAACTGTGCCATCTAAACATCTACCCTACCTAACTAGGGGAGGGTAAATAACAGGCCAAAAAGGGTTCTGGCAGACACTTAAGCAAGGTATTTTTGCAAGTTTTCCAGGTACTAAAATAAGTTACATAACACAGGTAGATACCACACCTTGAAGTGTGCAATTTGAACACCAACTTTTAATGAGGCAAGACGGGGGCTCTGGTTGAAACATGCCTCGTGCTCGACACACCTGCGGGGAAAGAGTCCAACACACCTCTACTACCTTATTTTACCTTCTGTTTGGCTCAGCTGTCCCAGTTTTCTCTGGGATGACAAACTGCAGCAGTAACACTAAAGAGTTTAGAGGCACTCAGCAACTACTGCTTGCCATGACAGCAGTATTGCACAACTGCATCTTTTTCAGCACCCATTCTAGCCTCAATCCTGTAAGGAAAGTGTACAGGGAAGAGCATTCCTATTTCACAGAAAATAAACAACCTTGATGCACAAATCCATCAAGCTTCCCAAGCAGGAGTAACAGGATCAGAATTTAGGCCTTCCAAGTGCTAAAACCACTGTCTGTAAATTAGTATTAAGGTAAAATAGAATTTAAAGTCAGATTTAATTTCTTTTTTAAGTGTCAGTAGGAGCTGGCAACCTGCCCTTCCCCACAGGGCTACATACAAATCAGCCAGATTTCAGACTCATTAGTGGAGGTATTTCTTCTAAAATACCTGGGCCTCAGAGGCTGTAAGTATTTGTGTGTGTGTAGGCAGATGTATTTTCATCTCAGACAGCTCTTTTTTACACTACTTACAGCAATGTCTACTCCCTAAAGAAGCACTCACTCCACAGCACTGCAACATGTAAGTCACTACCCTTCCTTTAAGTCCCAGGGCTCACTGCTACTGCAATGGCTTGAGCAGTCGGGACAGACAAACTACAGCCTGGAAAGGTCAGAAAACACCCCCCCACAGAAGCAGCTTCCTAAAAGAGGGGATTTCCTGAAACCACAAATGCAAAATACAGGGGCCTGCAGCGACAGCCACGCTCCAGAGCCACGTGTGCCACAGCAAAGTCACTGCCGGGAGGAACGGCGAGAAACCGGCTCTGCTTCCCAGGCTGTCACCAACCAGAGCCAACTGCAGGCAAACACCAGGGTGGCCACGCTGGAACTCAAGAGACTGAACTACAAAATCAATCAGCCACAAGGGTAACACAGCTAATACAGCAGTGACATAGCAGCTTCCTGCCCGCACAGCATCAGCTCCATCGCGGGGTTCTCACCTCAGGAAAATCTATTCAGGCAACAAACCCAGCACACCAAGTGCCATCAACGTGACTCGACTCTGTATCTAAGGACAACAGTTGTTCAGTCATCGGATGTTACCAATTTGTACGGCACCCAGAACCTTGAACAGCTTCAAACTCATCACCTGCTCTTCCACCACACTCCAGCCAGCCCTCCCTACCACAGCTACGAGGCAGGGCCCTGACTAGTGGGGATTTTCTGTCTGCCCTGGCCGTGCTGGTATCAGCAGGCTGAGCTCTGCTAACTACAGACACTGCTGAGCAGCAAACCACCTCGGTGAACTGATCCTTATCAGAATGCACTGCCACAGAACCAAAGAGTTCCGACCCATTTAAACAAGCTTCAAAAAGGCAGCATCACAAAGCAGCCAAGCAAGACTTCCAATCCCTTTCCAGAGGGTGAACCTATGTATTTTATGCAAAAATTAAGAGAAAACACCGAAAAACCCAGAACACAACAACCAAGGAAAGTGTTAATGCCACCAATTTTTAAAAATTGGTAAGAAAATGATCCCTGTAAAACAGGTCCAAAGACTTCTTTTTCTTGGCAGATACAGAACTAGATCTCCCTCAGTAAATTCATGACAGTGAGTGTATTTACATGTATTTACATTCAACAGACACTTGTCACACCAAAAATTTCCCTTCAGACAAACTGTAAACTCTCTGGTTTACCCAAGATGAGCAGAAAAAAAGAGTCTGGGTTTCCCCACTCTGCCCCATTAACTCCAGTGTGGCTCACCACCTCCAGCCCTGCCACGCGGCTGCCCCTCAGTCAACCTGTGGCTGTCACACCAAAAGGGAGCCACACACACACACCAAGGACAAAATCTACACAGAACTCAGAAACTGCAGGATCTGCCCCCAAGAAAAAAACTGCAGCTCTCCATCGCATTCCTGTTGTCTTCACACCCACGTTCTGTGAGCACATAGGACGGAAATTTAAAGATTAGCTAAAAATATATAGTGATGTCCCCAGAACAGGAAGGACCTTGACCTGTTGGAGCGAGTCCAGAGGAGGCCACCAAGATGATCAGAGGGATGGAGCACCTCTGCTGGGAGGAAAGGCTGAGGGAATTGGGATTGTTCAGCCTGGAAATGAGAAGGCTTTGGGAGGACCTAATTGTGGCCTTTCAGTACCTGAAGGAGCCAACTCAAAAGATGGAGAGGAATTATCTACAAAGAACCTGGAGTGACAGGACAGGGGGCAATGGCTTCCCACTGACAGGGTAGATTTAGACTGGATATTAGGAAAAAATTCTTGCCTGTGAGGGTGGTGAGGCCCTGATAAGAAACTGTGGCTGCCCCATCCCTGGAAGTGTTTAGGGCTGGGTTGGACGGGGCTTGGAGCAACCTGGTCTTGTAGAAGGTGTCCCTCCAAACCCTTCTATGATCCCATGTGATAGTCTTTAACTAGTCACAGGTGAACTTTTTTTTTTCTTTTTAAATGCAGGTGAACCCTTTAATTTTTACAGCTGAGCAGTTCTGAACTGCAAACCTCTGTGCCTTGGCTGAAGGTCAGCAGTGACCTATGACACTGCAGAAACCAACCACGCCAAGGCATCCCAACTCATCCCCTGCCCTACCCTTAAAGCACAGCCCAAAGATGCCAATACAAGTGGCAAAAACCAAACAAAGGCTTGAGCACGTGAATACTGATGTACTGCAGTAAAGCAAAGTTCTTGAACACACCCCAGTACAACAGAATGAACCACCTACACATCAGCTCCAAAGACCTTCCGGTGTTACATGAGTTGTGCTTTGGCTGTTTTAAACATTATTGTACCACATTGGGGTATCAGATTTTAAGCAGCCCCTTTAACTGCTTGTAGAAGATGCCCTTTTTTGTTCAGATGGAATATACACATCTCAGCTGCAGCCCTTCAGCCTCCTCCTGATTCAGAAATGCATGTAAACCACAGGAAGTTGACTGTTAAATAGCTTTATTCATAACTGTCAAGTATTCCATTTTCAGAAAGGTTTGAGTCAAACCAGCCTGTGTGCCTCCTGGAGCCTTGTGATCCTTACTGAGAGAGCCAAGGCAGTTCATCATGAATGTGATTTGCAAGAAAACACACCTAAATCATGCTCCTATCAAGGTGATGTTACCACAACAGCTTCCCTTACAACGCTGCATTTATCGTAGCTACTTGCCAGTGCCTGTACGAGGAAATCTCTCCAGTTTTATAACTCACTCTCTCTCCAAAGACATGGTTACAGCACAGTTGGTGATTTACCTGCTGGTAAAACCAGAGCAGGTATATTTTACAGCCAAACCACGGCACAAAGATCACTGTCTAGTTGGCGCGTCAAGCAAAGTAACCACAAAAATATTTTTTTGGGGAGGGGCAAAAAAAAAGAAGAAAAAAAAAAAGTGACTACATGAAATACACACCAGATGAACACATCTTTTAAACCCAGGAAGTGGCACCAATTTATTTGGTTTCCATGAAAACAATGTCAGCAATCTAAATATGACTTGCTGAAACCTTAGCACAGCCAAATGGCTTTTGAGCTGTTTGAGGGGAACAGGGACACTGCATTTTTTCCAAGAGCAATTGCTTAAAAAAGAAAAGGAGGGAGGAAAAAAAAAAGCACCAAATAAAGAT